GGAATGAACGAAAAATGGTTTTTCCAAATTTATCTGAATTAGCACGAAAATATCTTCCTATAACTGCTACATCTGTTCCAAGTGAACGCTTATTTTCAGACACAGGATATCATATTTCAATCCGACGTACACACCTTGACCCAAATTTACTTCGTCGCATGATTTTTTTGAAACGAAATATGAAAGTTTTGGATATATTTCCTCCAGAAGAAATCTGATTATAATAATTAGCAAAATATAATAGCTGGAATAAAAGTCAATATAATTTGTCATCATTGCTAATAATAAAAATAAGTTCGAAATATTTTTTTTTTTGTTTTAATTAATGAAATAATATAAATTATCAATTTAGTTCTTTAAACTAATCGATTATAAATTTTATGAACGATTGATTAATCGATTACAAAATTTTTGACCGATTCGGACCTCTAGTCCAATTCATAATGATGATCGTCATTATGAATTTGACAATAATTTCGACATTGCTGACAAGTCAAAAATAAAAAGAGTTCTGAAAATCATATTTGGCAATTAAAATTGATTTTTCAAGTACATTCACATGTCATGTCTATTATTTTTCCCCCTTTTTAAATGTCATGGGAAAAGAAGATTGGAGTGTAGAGAAGTTAATTTTGAGAAAGTGACAAATGATTTATTTATTAATTAAATAAATGTTTTTTATTTCATAAATTTTTTTTCTTAACGATTTGAAAAACCTCATAATCTTCGACACTAAAATTCTTTGATTCCAAAATTTTACCGTCGTAATAATTACCGTCGCAATTACAATTGATAGCCAAATTGTTACAATTTGACATCCATAAATCCCGACATCCAAAACACGGACCGCGCATATCAGCACAAAATAAAGCCATATTTACATGTTCCTGTTTAACTTTATGGAACTTTGTTGATTCTATAGAATTATTTTCACTATCACCTAAAGAAAAAATAAAACTATCTTGTGATTTCTCCCAAGAACCATAAAAGCCACCTTTCCAACTAACAGGATTATATCCTCCAATAATCTCTCCCGTATCGGAAACCTTCATGATAACAACTGTGGCATCTTTATTATCACATAATTCATGAAATGTACTCGCGCCAAAACCATTCAAACTACCTTGTAAAAGAAGTTTGAAATCATAAGTAGGATAATTCCTACACACGCGAATGTTCGTGTCATCTTGATGATCTATCCAATGAGCTATGAGTGCTGCATGTTTCAATTTGATAATATTTGAATCTATGGGGGAATAATTAATATATTGTGCATCGTTCGTCTTCACATGAAGTTCTCCTTCATTATAATTGTTTTCACGCAAAAACGAATTTATATTTTCAGAAGGTTTATTCGGTAATAACATTTCATAAGGTTTTAGTTTAATTGGTAAATCCTTATTGTTTATATAATTAAACCTAATAAGGGGAATGCAATTTTGTAAGGTTTCGGCCAACTCTAAAAGGTCATTTCTTGACCATTGATAATCAATTGAAATTTGATCTGATGAAAAAGTATGAGCGATTCCCCATTGTATTACATAATCCCATAAATCAACCTCATCCAATTGAAGATCATCTCGTTCAAGGATAGAGATCAGCATCGATTCTTCTATATTTGTGAAAGCCGTTGTGCCGAATATTAATTCCGGATTCGAACAAATTACTTTTAAGCATACATCTTGTAATTTTATACACGTCTCAAGACGAAATGCTGTATGATCCAGAACCTGAAGAGGATGTTGTCTAATCCATTCGATGTGCTTTTCAAGAAGATAAACTTGTACATGAGTAATTAATTCGAGAATGATTAATTCATCAGCGGCTGACAATAAATCCATCAAAGTTGTCGGGTGTTCTTGCTCGAGAGAGATTTTTCCCGAATACATATAACTGTAAGTCAAAAATGAGTTTTGAGTCAAACATAAAAAGGGGCACACAATAGCATCTTCTTCAATGTACCCTAATATCATATTAAAAACATGGGCGGTGATGTTTTGTTTTTCGAAAATGATAACATTTCTTTCTTTCCTGGCCCAGTTTTTAGATAAAGCCGAATAAAAATAAGGAGACCTGGAACGTAATATACAAGTATGTGCTTTAAATCGAGAGATATTAGGTGATTTTCCAACCTTAATAACGACATTATAATCGAAATCTTCAGCATCCAAGATTAATTTTGATAAATCGTTTGATAAAGAATTTAACATCGTTTATTATTTATTCAAAAGGGAAGAGAAGATTTTTTTTTTGAAAAAAATAAACAACATTTTACAATTCAATCACATTATTTTTAAGCAATGAAATTTTTTTTTTTTTTTTTTTTTTGTAAATTACATAACGATATACAATATTAAAAAGGAAGTATTAAAGTTATGTAATAAAAATCTAAACAATGGAACAATTGAATGATTATCATTATGCATTTACCCCCTTGTGCAACTTGTTTATAATAGTATTTAAATGAAAAAGAAATCGCGAATGAGATTTCCACATTTGCGTTCAATTCAGTACAAGTGAATGTATTTTTAATTAGCTCAAATCGGACAGTAGGTCAAAAGAAATGACAGTTTAAGATTTAAAAGAAGTTCATTTCAACGAGGAGGAATCGATCAGTAAATTTCAAAAATCATTAAATATCGAAATTAAAATAATAAATACATTCTGGTACATAACCCTAACATGAAGAGTTTGAAAATCTGCTTTTTTGTGATCTTCTACAATATAATTTTGATAAATGACTTTTATAATTGGTATAATTTGAAAAATTGGGGGAAAGAAGTTCTTATTTTTCATAATGAGAACACTTTTCACAACACTATTGAGAATTCCTTTTATTTTGTTATCTCATTTTCTTTTTCATAACAGCTAAAATTTCATATGAAAAGATCAAATAGTCGCTACAAATCATCTTAAAGATTATTTTAATTTATATTTTTCTTGTATGAGCAAATTTGCCTTGAATTTCTACATTCGAAATCTTTCATAAGGTAGGATTTTTATACTTTCGAAAAAAATCTTTAAGATAAACAGTCGTTTTTAGGATCAGCAATGTTTTATCTCATGTTTACCAATGGTTGCCCATGATATCTCATAGTGACATTTTAATATCCTCTATAGCACATTATAAAGTATTCATAGAGCATGTTTGGAATACTTGTGATGACAGTTACGCGCAAAAAATGGATACAGTTTTTTGGTGGATTACGTGGATTATAATGTAGATTATCTTAACATCTCAATTATATCACGTGAATCAATCTATTTTCCCGATTTGCCTAATAAAACCCGAATTGTTTTTTCTAAAAACTTCACCATGAATCAACTACTTTTATATTTTATATGTTGGGAAAGAAAATTTTTTTCTCATGCTGAAATTTCGAACTCAAGGGTATAATGGATATTCGGTAATTTGTTTAATCATTTTGTTTCAACTTTTTTTTTTTATTTATTCAAATTCAAAATTATTCTTTTACCTTTTTTCTTATTTAGCTACAATTTAGTCCGTTTATTGAGAATAAAATAGCATGTGCTACTTCAGCAAATTTTGGGTTAGTGGGTAACGGGAGACTATTTATTTTAAATACCGGGATTGGACCTGAAGGTGTTGAGGTTGAAAGAATGTAAATTATAATCATTCGATAACAATCTTTGTTTTTTTTTTAAAAAAAAAATTGTTTTAACTGATTTAGTTAATTTGAATTAGATATGATACGCAAGACGGAATATTTGATTGTTCATGGAGTGAAATTAATGAGAATCAAGTAGTAACAGCAAGTGGTGATGGTTCTATAAAATTATGGGATATCAAATTAGCCGTTAAGTATAATTAAACGAATTAATTTATTAATTATAATTATCATTTAATAAATTTTTTTTGGGGTAATTTAGGAATTTCCAATTCAAAATTGGCATGAGCATAGTAGAGAGGTATTTTCGGTTCAGTGGAATCTTATTAAAAAGGACACGTTTGTCAGTGGATCATGGGATCATTCAATCAAATTGGTAGATATATAAAATCAACGAATTCTTTCTTAATTTTATTTAAATTACGGTTAAGTTTAGTATATTTAATTTCTTTTTCTTATTTTTTTTTTTTTTTTAAAAAAAAAAAAAGTGGTCACCGGAGAGACCACAATCACTGATCACATTCAATATGGAACATTCAAATTGCATTTATAATACGATATGGTCCCCTAATAATCCAGATTTATTTGGTTCAGCGTCAGGAGATAATACGGTAAAAATTTGGGATATCAAACTTCCTCATTCAATACAAACAATACAATCACATACAAATTTTGAAACCCTTTCAATGGATTGGAATAAATACCAAGAAAATATAATAGTTACAGCGTCCTCTGATAAATCCGTTAAAGTATGGGATTTGAGAAGACCTGATCGTGAATTATTATGTTTACGAGGTCATGAATATGCTGTAAGAAGGGTAAAATGTTCTCCGCATAATGGAAACATAATTGCTAGTGTTAGTTATGACATGACTATGAGAATATGGGATATTTCAAGACAAACCAATCCTTTAGTGAATGTTTATGACGGTCATTCTGAATTCGTAGTGGGTTTGGATTTTAATTTGTACATTGAAGGTCAAATTGCTACATGTGCTTGGGATGAAAATGTTCACATTTTTCAACCCCCAGGTTTATTGGGTTAAAAAAGAGGAATGACAAGGTAGAATTTTAAACGTTTACAATTAGTATACTATTATATTTCAAATATGAATAGTTACATTTAATAAAAATTATGATTAATTAATAATAAATTTATTTAGTTATTTACAATTGCAAGGTTAACGAACAGTATTTTTTTTTTTATTATTATTTATCAAATTTTTTTCCTCATCTGGTCAACTATCTAACAAAATTTACAAAATTCTCAAAATTCAGTAACCCCAACATCTTGTACTACAAAAGTGGGAAGACTGAAAAAACTTTTGCATTTTGTGAATTGTTCCACTGAATACTCATTGGTCCCTTGTATGGATTTTAATTGGTTGTTGGAAGCTCTTTCTCTTGCTAATATTAGCGTTTTGTTATTACTTTCTGCATATACTGAGCCATACGCTGGATGATATATTTTCATTTTGATTATGAAACAAGTTTCTATTCATTCCTCTTTCTGTTAAGTGTTGGAATAAAAAATTTAAGCTAATTTATTTAGGGAGATGAATAGTTGGCGGCGTAATTAATATTTCCCGTTGCACGATCGAGTAATTATCATTTTGTGGCACAGATTCATCGTGTAACCTTTAAAGTATTGATTCGTTCAGTAAACAAATATATATCCATACCAAAAGAATTTTCGTGAAAAAACGATCTTATGTCATAATTAGTAAGAAGTAGATTTTTGAAAATGATATAATTATTCACTCATGATCTTATTAGCTGATCTGAGCTAGCTGTGACAAAAACAAAATCTTTAAAAGTTTGTTGCACAACATTTAGGCGTTGAAAAAAAGTTTCTCACGTTTATATATAAATACTCAACAAATATTTCTTTTTTTTTTTTTTTTTCTTAAAAAAAAATTTTTTCTTTTTAAAAATTATCAATCGCATAACAAAAGAAAAAATATAATAAATTTTAAAACTATATAATATTGTAAAATGACTTCATATACTGATTTCCAAACAAGGGATGATAGAGAAACCTTATCCAGATTGGATGAACTTGTAGTCCCAAGATCACCGTTATCGCCACCTGTCGAAAATCATTTATATCAAAATACTTCGTATTCTACATTTCCCATCACTCCTCCACCAGATTATAACGGCAAATATGATGAAATAAATATGAATGAAGGTGATGATGGTATGGATGAAAGTGGTGATGAGATATCCGCTTTGCCTCAATTCTCTCGGTTCACTCATGTAGATCATGGTGATCCCTTGGTTAATTCATTAGCGTCTCCATTAAGTGCTCTTGATTTAAGTGACGATGATGATAGACATAGGGACATCTTACATGATTTGAATAATCGTGATAGAAAAGTACAAGAAATAATAACTCTCAACAAACATCATTTTGAAAAGGTTAAACAATCATTAAGTTGTTCGGGTGAAGAATGGCAAAGGTTCTTAAGAGTTCTTTATGCAAAATCTGAAATTGTACCTGATAAAGAATGGTACGACACCGTTAGTGAATTCATAAATCCTACAAACCCTCTTCTTTCGAAATTTGAAGATTTGATATGTAATAATCTGCAAGCTGAACCAATAAACGAGAGCATCTATTATTACGATGAAACTGCACCAGGTCAAACCTCGGAAATCGATGACGATTACGGATACGCCCCTTCAATCAACTCAACGGCCACGGGTAATAGTAGGAGACAATCAAGAGATGATGACATCATTCAATTTCAGGGTGTGGACATAAAGGAGATACGTAACTATCCCGAGAAATTGGCAAATTTAGAAAATTTATATCCAGAATTCTTTATAGATGCAAAAGTCTATTTGAGTCAAGAATGTCGAGTGAGATTAGGACATCATTTACAAGATAAGAATTGTAAGGCGTATACTTGTGAATTTACAACCGATGATTTAATCGATTCAAATTCAGACAGCGATGATTATCTCCTAGAAAGAGAATACAGCGAAGATTTTGTTGATGAAATAAGAGCGAATGTTGAAGAACACGAACAGACTTGTGAAGATTCTAAATTATATAGTCATTTCGTTCAAATATTGCTCACTCCAAGGCGTATGATGCCCGATGATTTATGGGAAGAATCAATTTATGAATGTCTCATTAATTGGCCACATTTAATTTCCCAACTTAAAGAAATAATCGCGTATGAATTATCAAAAAAGGAGGATTTAAATAATAATGGATATCTCTGTAATTGGACTGATTCACAAGAATTTACCATTCAATTGTGAATTTCTTGAGCGTAATGGATAATTTTTTTTTTTTTTTTTACTTTAGATATTTCATTTAACAGACATTTTAATGTAATTTTTACTAGTCGGTTATGAAAAAAAGGGAGAAAATATTTTATGAAATTTTTTTTTTCCCGTTATTATTTTGTGGAAGATTTGGCTTCTTTTAGTAATATCAGCTTGGGGTTTTAATTTTTTAATAAGGCTGCGCTTTGAAAAAAAAAAAAAAATTTTTTTATTTGTATAAGAATATTCGTTTCAAATAAAATCAATAAAAAACATTTTTTGTATATAATCAATACAGTATATATATATAAATATCGACATATAAACGTATAATTAACAAGAAATTCTTATGCCAATTCCGTCTATTCGGTTGAATTCCTCCAATTATCGGTACGGTACGAAATCTGAAACCTTCGTTAAACTTAAAAAAAAATTACTTTTTTTTTTCTGTTGAACTTAAAAACATCACATCATAAACTTTTATTGATTAAAGTGAGGGTCATCGTTGGAATCGAACCAACCAAGCCTAAGCCAAACCATTATGACCATACCGGAGTGGATGTCTAATGGTCGTCAACATAAGTTTTACCCGACCTCGCGTACATTCCAAAACAATTATGCAGGGTTACAACCGAGATTGTTTCTAAAATCCTTAGCTCATGAAGATATAGAATAATAGCTAACAACGGCATCCTCATCCCAACCCACCTCGTAATGCCCTCACCTTGATCGCAAAGAGGTAAATAATTACTTTTGCAAAAGCTCAAATTTACTTCTTAGAGCATTTGGAAGTTATTGAGCATGATGATCAGAACGTTCTCATCTATATGAAATCGAATGAACGTAACCATATAGGAATATGGAATAGTAAATCATATTACGAGTAACGTGAAATTATATCCCATATATACTTCGTTTATTAGGAATAAAGGAAGGTAGCAAAAATAATAATAGTAAGTTTCGATGAAAGCGAGGGACTTACTAATGTTATGTTACCACTTATGAAGAAAGACTTGGCAGTACAGATGGTAAGAGAAGTAGAATAAAAGAAGGTCGTTCAAGCGGTACCTACAGACGCTGGAAAGCCATTTAGGGGGAAACGACAAAACCCTGGGCAAAGCCTCTTGAAATATTTATGAAAACATCTCTACAACAAAGGAGGATAAACCTCCAGCGACTATAGAAAAACGAATAAAGTAATTAGTAAATCCTTGACAATACCACACAAACAATATTTTAAATTTTAAAACTTATCTTTAAGTTCGAAAGTAAAAATTGAGTAAAAAAAATATGAACAAAACAAATAATACGTATTTATTAGTGTGATCAACATAAACAAATCCTGATTGGATGATTAATTTTATTTGTTAATACTAAATTTTAATTACTAAAATAATTAATATTTATTTTAAACCTTAAATTATAGATAAATGAAATTACAAAAAAAATTGATTTTAATTTTTACATTAAATATAATTTTTTTTTTTAGTAAATAAATCCAAATATAATATTAACTTTAAATAAATTTTTTTTCTTTCTATTACAAAGTATTTATTATACAGTTTCTAGTAAAAAAAGAATAATAAACATATTTTTTAATAATATATACAAATTTTATTATTATTATAGCTTCATAAAATTAATATTAATAAAAAAATTTTAAATATTAAATTAAGATTTATTTTATTCAATCTAATTTGATATACTTTTAATATACTTAAATAATATAATATTATTGATATTATTTCATTTTTATTAAAAAATATATTATAGATAATTTTTATATTATAAATTCTTAACTTTTCTCTATTTTATCCTAATTTAGCTTATATATTTTTAATAGGGTTCAAATCTATACTAAAAAAATAATTCTTCTAAGTTATACTAAACATTTTATAAAATATATTAATAATAAAAAATCTTTTTTAACTTATCTTTTTAAATTAGAATTCTAATATCTAATTTGATCATATATAGTAATAGAATTTAATAAATATCTTAAATCTTTTTAATTAATAATTACTTATTAAGTTAATAATTAAATTATTAATATTATAAATACAAAATTTTATTGTTTAATTATTATATTTTAATAATATCAAATCAATTTCTTTACTATTGCTTTTTTAATTAGTTATAAATAATTTTAAGTAAAATAGATGATTTTAAATTTTACTAAATTCAAAAATATTAATATTATTAATTATTCTAATTAATATATTTTTTAAAATTACTTAAAAATTCATTCTTATCTATATTATCTTCATTTATATATTATCATCATTAATATTATAATTTAACTCAATAAAAATATTTAAAGAATTTTTGGATTTTTTAATCAGATTTTTTTTATATAATATTTATATAATTTTAGCAGTTTTTTTATAAATAATAATTACACATTAAATTTATATATTACTTATAAGAGATCGCACCTTTTTTAAAGTTACTAAATTTAGATTTAAAAAAATATATAAGTAAATTCTGTTAAATTTAATATTTGAAATTGAATAATTTATTAATATTTTAATGAAATTTAGTAAGTTTTAAATAATTTAAAGATTTTACTTAAAAAAGATATTTCTGATTTTAATAATTTAATTATATATTTATAAATGTATTATTATTTTTATCTAAATATAATATATAAAATAAGAAAAAAATTGTTTTTTAAATTTGTAATAATTTTCTTTTTTACAATAATTTAAATGCAAAATTAAGTAATAAAAAAATTAGAATTGTAAATTTTTTCTATTATAAATTTATCAATGTTTAAAGCTTTTAATTAACTTTTTTTAAAAGTTAATTTATCAATTATTTTTTTTTTAAATATGCTTATATTACTGCAATTTATCTATTTTGATATATTTTATTGATTAAATATTATGTGAAATACAAAAATTTATTACACTGCAAATTTATTATTAAGAGTTAATTATATTTTAAACTATATAAAATTATAAATAATTATTTTAATAGTAAATATTAATTTTAATTACTTATTATTTTTAATTATTTTAATTACTATTATTTTAATTTTAAATAAATTATTTATTTATTCTTATATTATTTTTAAGTAATAAAATAATTCTTACTATTTTAGAAAATTATCAATATATAATATCAGTATTAGAAATAAATATACTATATTATAGAAAATATCAAATGAGAATTATCAAGTGATAATATATAGTAATAATTAATAAATATTACATCAGAAAAAATAGAAAGAAATTAAGAATTTATATAATTTACTTGATTGATCAAATTTATCTATTTCTTGATACTATAAATATTTATTACATATTATTACAATAGTTTCGTAGCTTTAAATAAAATCTCAAAAGGATAAATAAAATTAAGACAATTACTCAAGAAATCATGAGTGAGAATTCACAATAATGTCAAAGATTATTCTCAATATAAAATCATATAAAATAAATACAAAATAAACACAAAAATAACTCAAAGATATTTCAGAGACTACGTTTCAGAGACTCTAAATTAATATAGCGAATTAATACAATATTATATAATAAATTCACTAATAATAATTAAAAGGATTGCACAAATGTAAAGGGTCACGAATAATTTATAATAGTTTCAAAAGGGTTGTAAAGAATAAGTTTTATACTTAGTTAATTATACTCCTTTATTAATATAATATATAAGTTCAGTACCTAAAAGATTAACATTTTATTAGTATTAAGACTTAAAGAAAATATAAAGATATTTATATATATTGAATATAATAATAAAATAAACTAAACTAAATATATCAAAGGAAATAAAGTTGCTATTTCGCTAAGCAATAAAGTTGTTATGTCAATAAATTGCTAGATCTGCAGGTAATTAAATGGATATCTATAATCTACATGATTATCAAGAGCAATAAAATTGACATCTAGAGATTTATATAATAATTGACGGCAATAAAATGGTCAAAATGATCTTCTTAAAAGATCTATATGATAATAAAATTGACTTCCTAATCTACCAATTAAATTTATCTAAAATTTTTATCTGTTACAATATATAATAATAAATAACTTTTCATTTTTAAATATCTTTATTATTTTTATTATTTCTTATATTTTATATTTGTATTTGTATTTTATTATATCATTATTATAGCCAAAATTTTCAAATACATTTAGATTATAATATTGTAAGTAATTATTTATAGTTAAAGTTCTAAATAATTCAAATTAATCTGAAGAATTTTCAAAATCAGTTTAGATTAGTTTTAGATTATATAAAAATTAATCAAAAATTTCAATTTAGTTCAGATTTTTTTTAAATTATAATTCTAATCTATATTAAAAAAATTTGAATTGAATTGAAAATTTCAAATTAATCTAAAAATTTATTTTAAATATATGTAATTTATAATTTTTATATAAAATTGCAAAAGATTACAAATTTCTTTTTAAGATTCACATAAAGAATCGTAAAACTCTTAACAAATCATAATTTTATTTAAAAAATTACAAAAATTTATGAATTCTTTTTAAAAATCACAATTCTTTTATGAAACTTTTAAAATTTGCAAATTCTTTTTAAAAATCGCAAAATTTTATGAAATTCTTAAAAAATTGTAAAATTATGCAAATTTTTTTAAGGATCATAAAATTTTGAAGAATTGCAAAAATTTTTAAGAATCATAATTCTTTTGTAAATACTTTTTAAGGTTTACAATAAGATTACAGATTCTCTAAAAACTTTACAAAAGATTTTCTTTAAGATTTGAATATAATTAAATAGAAATTTTAAATAAATCTAAAAATTTCAGTTTGATTTAAATTTTACCAATCTACAGTTCAGATTAATAATAATTTGAATTGAACTGAACTGAAATTTTAGTTCAAATTATTTAATATTATACTATAGCAAATTAATTTTATATAAATAGAATAGCTTTTTGCTTAAGTTGTAAATTAATTCTTTTGTAAATTTTAAATTATTAATAAAAAAATCAATTTAAAACTACAAATTAATTTTTTCTTCAAAGTTATCATTTATCTAAGATTTATTATAATATCTTATAATTAAGTTTAAAAAAATAAATCTTAAATTTAAAATATTTAAATCATAAAATTAGTTTAAGTATAATAAATATTTGTAAGTCTTAGAAAATATTTTAAAATCATAAACGCTAATAAGCAAAATTAATTGCTGCAACCCTTTGGCTTAATGTTAAGATAACTAAAAATAAACCTGATAATATATAGATATTAAAGAATCAAATTTAGATTATTTAATAATTTTTATAATTTTATCAAAATTATTAATATTTTAAAAATGAAAAATTCTCATTATATCTTATATAGCTTATTAAACAAATTTTATTGTTAAAAATTATAAATTTATCAAATTTTAAACTTATTATCAAATTGCTTTTAATTATTATTAATCTATTTATTTCTAAATTTTTTATTATTAAATATAATTAAATTTTAATTAAATTTAAACATATAATAAGCTAATTTACTTTATATATTAAAAAGTATATTTTAGCATATCTGATTTATTATCAGATATAAATTCTATTTATTTATTTATCTTAAATTCTATTTCAATTTTCTTATAAACTTTAAATATAATATCTTCAATATAGTAAAATATTTTATTTTTCAAATTTAATTTTGATATTTTTATTAATAAAAATAAAATTAACCATACTTTATTCAGATATATTTATTTTATCTATTTTCTAATAAAATTTAAAACTTAACTTATATAATAAAATTTTGTATTTCAAGTATTATTACTTTACAAGCTTAATTTAATATTTTTGTATCAATCTATTTTCTTGATAGAAGATTATAAAAATATCATATTATTTTAAATAATAATAACTTTAGAATTATTTACAAAGAAAAATATTTGCTAAAAATAATGTGATACAGTATATTATTTTATATTAGTTAAAATAGAAATCAATAATAGCTTAAAAATATTAACTATTATTAATTAATAACTGATAAAAATAATATTCTATTCATATTAAAAATTCTTCTATTTTAATATTTTAACTAAAATTATTACTTTTTCTTTTTATGTTATTGAAAAAAGCAAAAAAAATAAATATTT